CATAGTATACAGCCACAGTGGTCAATACCAAATGTATTGGTATAATGACAGCTACTCAGGCCAATGGAAAAGAACTGAAAACCCAGAAATAAAATCATCAGCATATAGACAACTGATCTTTGATAAGGACCCCAAAAGTATCAAATGGGAAGCAGAGGCCTCTTCATCAAGTGGTGCTAGAAAAAATGGGTATCTACCTGCAGAAAAATGAAGGAAGACCCATATCTCACTCCATGCACAAGAATAAACTCAATGTGGAACACAGACCTTGAGGTAAAACCCCAAACTATTAGGGCCATCAATGAGGGAACTGGGACAAACCTGAGAACTTTGGCATAGGCTCTCAGAAATAAGGAAGGACACAAATACAGATGAGTCACAAATTGACAAGATAAAACACCTGTGTACACTGAAAGAATGCACCAAAAAATATAAGAGAGCCCACGGACTGGGAAAACATCTTTAGCAATGACACATCGCATCCTTAAAAAGCATTGATGAACGCATGAAGCACATTGCCGCATGGGAAGAACTGGAAGAAATTATGCTAAGCGAAGTAAGCCAAGCACAAAAGGACACGTACAACATGAGTCCACTGGAGTGAGCTTAAAAATACAAAAGGGGCATAGGGAAAAAGCTACTGTATACATACATTCCTGGGGTAAGATCCAGGCAAGGGGCCAGACACAATCCAGGGATACATATGGTAGCCAACTAAAAAGGAGGAGGAAAAAAAAAGATATGGGTAGCAGGGGAATAGGGCACTAACCCACCAAAGGGGAGGGTGCTGTTTATATCTCTACAGGGAGAAAGGGACCAGACTTCAACCCGGTACATCAAGACGTGAATGCAACATACTGGCATGAAGCAGGGAACCAATAGAGAGGTCTGAGGGGGCAGCCCCAATCCCAACTATAGGAATAGCTCCCCCTCTCCCAGAAGAATTCACTTCAGAGGACAGCACTGAAGGTACAGCTCAGGGAGAGGGGCACGTGTGATCAGAGCACACATGAGCAAACGTAAGGGGAAGGAGAGAGAGTGGAGTAGATCCTGGCCCACTACATCCCGAGGGTGATATTCCTACTCAGAGCAGCCAATGCACAGAGAGGACCAACGGGCTGGCCCCACTATGAGATAATACGTCCCTCATTGACCCATAGTGCTACAAGGGTCAACACTGGAGACATAGTGCCAGAATTGTGCCTGATCTGACCCCACCACACTAGATTGAAACACTAAGGGTGTGCAATAGTATAGCAAGGGGATCAAGGCAATGTTGTCCCCGGGGGAATCCCAAAAATAGACTGTGGGGTCAGGGGGTGGCACCCCATCAGATTTAACTGGAAAACACTCCTAAAGGTCAACAAACAAACCTTGAACTATTTATAGGCTTTTTTTGGGTTGTCGTTTTTTTGTTTTCTTTTGCTCTGTCTTGTTTGTGCTTATTATTGTCTCTGCATGTCTATCTAGATAAGATAGGCAGGATAAACAATCCAGAGGAGAAAGCAATGGGGCTAACGATTCCAGGGGAGTATGGGAGAGAGGGAGGCGGGGGAAAGGAAGAAGGTGTTAACAAACCCAGGGACAAGGGAATACCAAGTGATCTAAAATCGATGGCAAGGGAGGTGTAGGAGGCCTGCTAGGGCTTGATCAAGGGCAATGTAATCAAGAGAAATTACTGAGCCCAAAAGAAGGCTGAACATGAGAGTGGGACAAGAGGAAGGTAAAAGGAAATAGAGGAAAGAACTAGGAGGCAAAGGACATTTATAGAGGTCTAAATATAGGCATGTACATATGTAAATATATTTATGTATGACGATAGGGAAATAGATATATGTATATATATTTATAGGTTTATTATTAAGGTAGCAGATGGACATTGGGCCTCTACTCAAGTACTCCTTCAACGCAAGAACACTTTGTTCTAATAACCTGGCATTCTATGATGCTTACCCTCCCAACACGACCAATGAAGACAAAATGGGTGCATAAGCATTTGTGGTGAAGAAAGTTGATGGTGCCCGGCTATCAAAAGATATAGTGTCTGGCGTCTTAAAGGCTTGAAGATAAACAAGCAGTCATCTAGCTGAGAAACACCAGCCTGTGTGATAATGAGGTGTCGATAGGATCAGGTATCAAAGACCCAGAACAAAAAATCATATTATTGTTAATGAGGGGGTGGGTGGAGTGGAGACCCAAAGCCCATCTGTAGAAAATTGGACATATTCTTACAGAAGGGTCGCAGGGTGGAGACGAGCCAGTCAGGGTGCGGTATAGTGCTGATGAAACATAACTTTCCTCTCGTTCTTTAATGCTTTCCCCACCCCCCACTATCGTGACCCCAATTCTTACAAATCCGGCTAGACCAGAGCATGTATACGGATGTAGATAGAAGCCGGAAACACAGGGAATCCAGGACAGATAAACCCCTCAGGACCAATATTGAGAGTAGCGATACCAAGAGAGTAAGGGAAGGTGTGGGGAGAGAGAGGGAACTGATCACAATGATCTACATATAACCCCCTCCCAGTGGGACGGACAACAGAAAAGTGGGTGAAGGGAGACATAGGTCAGTGTAAGACATTAAAAAAAATTTTAAATAAATTATCAAGGTTTCATGAGGGAAGAAGGGTGGGCGAGGGAGGGGGTAAAATGAGGAGCTGATACCAAGGGCTCAAGTAGAAAGAAAATGTTTTGAAAATGATGCTAACAAATGTACAGATATGTTTGACACATGTATGCATGTATGATTTGTGATCAGTTGTACGTGCTCCCAATAAAATGATTTAAAAAAAAAAAGTTATAGTCTCTGAAACTCACAGGGGCAGTTCTACCCTGCCCTCGAGGAGTAAGCATTGATGGCAGTGAGTTTTGGTTATATATGTGAAATATCTAAAATGGGTAATTAATAGGAGCATTAAGTAGAATAGTGGTTGCCAAGTGTTGGGGGAAGAATGGACTAGGAATAAACGGCAAATAAGTACAGGGTTCTTTCTGGGTTGATGAAATGTTCTGAAAGTAATTGATGATGATCAACATACAACTCTGCGAATATAAACTCAATTGAAACTTACTGTCATCGAGTTGTTTCCAACTTATAGCGAGCCACAGGACAGAGTAGAACCAGCCTTGTGGGTTTCTGAGACTGTAACTCTTTATGGGAGTAGCAAGCTTTGTCTTTCTCCCCAGGAGCAGCTAGTTTCAAACTGCGTACCTTGCGGTTAACAGCCCAGTGCATAACCACTTCATCGCCACGGTTCCTACTGTGAAGATACTATGCAGTAAAACAGCAAATGTCCTCGAAGGGACAGAAAACTATCTTTTAATGAACCCTATTTTGTGAATTGTATGGGTATGTAAATTGTATCATAAAATAAAAATAAGGAACCCAGAGTTCATATATAACTCTGACCTATCATTACTTTTGGATTTTGTTGAGCTCCCGTCATCAAAATGCAATACTTAAAAACAACAGCTTGTAATTTCACGGAAAATAAGATGGCTGTATTCTTTGTTCTACAAATTTCACTCTTAGATTTATAAACACCAATTATAATGTTTGAGTCAATGCAACCTTATTCTTTAATCTCTCGTTTTCTTCAAAGCACCTCTGTATACACACTTATCTTTAACAGATATCCACTAACAAATCATAACAAGTACATTTTGGTCCATCACAAACAGATGAAGAACACATCACATGCCATAGTGGTTACGATTTAGGCTGCTAGCCTCAAGGTCAGCCTTTGGAAACCACCAGAGGCTCCTCGGGGGAGAGCTGAGACGGTCTACTCTCATAAAGAGTTACAGTCTTGGAAACCCATGGGAGCAGTTCTACCCTGTCCTATCGGGTCACTATGAGTCAGCATTGACTGGATGGCAGTGAGTTTGTGTTGTTTAACCAAAAGAGTATGACTCAGGTTCTTGTAAAATAAACGAACTGTATGACTGAGACGGTCCTATTGAAGTACGATATGGATCAAAACCCCACAATATTTCCTTTCTGTTTTAAAATGTACAGTTAATCTTTTGATTCTTGAGCATAGGGAAATTCATGTAGACTCCATCATCTGATGACTCATAGTCTGAGGTTCTGCAGGCAGTATTGATTTTATCATCACTACTAGACTCTCTTGGAGGTCATTTCCTTTTAAGCTTGTGACTATATAATGTCATGCTCTGTTACTGTCCTCTGTCATTATGGCACAATCTCACTAAATCTAAATTCTCAACTCTATTGCATGGAAACTGCAAAAATAAGACTACAAAGAGGTTTTCTTTTGGGTACATAATTGCAAAATAGTTAATTCTATTAAAAAACAAAAGGAAAACAAGTATATCTTCTCATTGAAAAATGTCTAAGAAAGAATAAGCCTCACGAAGCATCAATCTTTAGAGAATGATGAGGACACGAACAATCCTGTCTGCATGGGACTCTGGGAGACAACTAGAGTACCTTATTGAGCACATGACTTAGCATATCAAACATCTGACTTCCTGGTAACGTCACTTGAAACTGATTAGTACAAAAACAATCCTATCCATCATAGATCAACAAGCCTTTGTTTATGGCCTGTATATGCATCTTTGCACATAAACACTAAATATAAACCCCACTCCTACAGTGCTCTGTATAGACTTCTATTCAGGAGACGCAACAGTTCATTGTTACCAAAATCTTGCTATCAATCTCTGTATGCCAGCTCTCTAAGAAAACCTTGTCTGATCAACCTGGCCTTTTATTTATTTTTAACCTTTTCCTCAGAATCTAACCTGTGCACCCTGGATCCTTTCCTGCTACTAGTCCAGTGGGGTGCAACTGGATTATTATGTTGGCAGGAGTAAGTTTGGCCTTCTTAAAGATTATAAGAAGTGCATTAAAAGAATACCTTAAAACAGCAATCCTACTGAGTTCCAAAATCATTAAGGTAACAACAAATAATCTCTTAGACATATTTTATCACCACTTCCACACTAATAGCTACTAAAAATAATCTTACATGGAGTTCTAGTGACTTCAAGCTCAGGTCAGCGAATGCATCTCCAAGCTGCTTTTGGGTATGTACCATCTGGAAAAGCTGCGTAGACAATGTCTGGGCCAGTTTTAGAATATTTTCATATTTTTTCTTGTTATCTCTTAATATATCAATCTGAGCTTCCAGTTCCAGGTCCACAGTTCTTGAGCCACGGCCTAGTTTCTCAGAGATAATTTGTCGAGTGCACTAAAAGCAGAAAGATTAATTTTAAGGAGAAAAAAAAAAAGAACCAGGAAAAAAATAATAGAGCAATATAAAATTAAGTGTGTATGGGATGTATGTACCATTTTATGGCTTCAAGAATCTAGTCTAACAGAGAATTGTCAGCTACTTTAGAAGTTCATCAGGACTCAAAAAGAAAATTCATTAGACATGTCTCAATTATTATTAACCAAATGAGTTTAAAACTTACCTGGTTAATTTATATACTACCAGATGAGAGCTCTCACATCATAATCATATTTCACATAATAATATTTTAAGCTTTATAAATCTAGGTATAATACATTCTTAATGCAAGTAATGAATAAAATGTCCCTTTTTTGAAAGCCATGCAACCACCTCATATATTAATTTTCTAAGTGTGCTATGTATATGTTTGTGCATGTTATTTATATAGGTGTGTTTTATTAGGTGTTAATTAATACAATAAATATTTAGAAACAATAATGAACACAATTAATGGTAACACCAAAATTCTAGTTTCCTATTGGTTTCAAATGTCATCTTCTTTCTCTGCTCTCCGTAAGTATCACATGTGTTGGAGGGAAAGGGGATGAAGAGGTGTGAGGAAGGGAAAAAGGAAAGCGAAGGGAGGAGTAAGGGGACAAGAAGGAACTAGGCCCAAGAGAGGACGAACGAGATTAATTTTAATTGATCAGAGATTTCTGAGGACTTTTTTATAAGCTTCGCCCAGGAAACATGACAGTAAATTATGTTATTCTCTTGTGCTCCAGAAATGATGATACAGGAACCTATAATTTTTAGAAAGTACCTAGAACTCATGAAAGTAGGTTTTCCAGTAAAACTTTTTGCTGGAAATTAAAAATTAAGCACAAATTTTGCTACTGAATGCTTCCAAGTGCACCCATATAGGACATGCATAAAAAGCATCACTGAAAGTTATCAAGTCTATTCTAAAAAAGCAGTAAATAAGTAATTTGGAAGTTATTCCCTATTAGCACAGTTCTACTCTGTCCTATAGGGTCCCTATAGGTATCAATGGTATCAATTCAGGGACACACACAGCCTGTAAGGAAATACATTTTGTTTTTTAAAGCTGCCTGTTTATAGAATTTCTGTTGAAGTGGTGCTAAGGAACTAAGACATACAACATATATGGTTCAATCTGGCATTTGGAACATGTTACAGATAAACAATTATATACTCCTAATGGAAATCTATACAATCTGGATAGAGTGCTTCAGAAGCATGGCAAGCAGCTTTGTAAAAAATGGTCACCTGAGAAGATGTAAAATTGCCAGACCTTTCCCCACTCTTCAGGTGCCCACATGATCCCTGAAGAGACACTTTCATTAAACTGTTTCCCAGAGTATACGGAAATTACAATGCAAAATGCACACTGGCCATTACTACACATTATGAATTAAACTAAAAAGAAAACGGAAGAGGATTAAGTATTTCACTTCACGATCCTTACTTCAAAATTCTTAGAAATGAAAATGGCTTACAAAGAGCTGCCAGTGCTACTGTTTTTTATTTAGAGCCCTAACGATAAAGCCTAGGGGTGGAAAGATCAAGTGCCTGGCTGCTAACCAAAATGTCAGCGGTTTGAATGCAATTCAGTGGCTCTACAAGAGAAAGACGTGGAGATTTACTCTCATAAAGGTTATAGCCTCGAAAACCCTATGGGATATCTCTACTCTGTCACACGGGCCAGCTATGGGTCCAAAACGGACTGTCCAGAACTGAGTCACAACACGGAACAAATGAATCTAAGTTAAAATAGCAGGATGATGTTAAAAGTAAAATATTGACCTATGTAGATCTGTTACTTGGGGGACGGTAGTTGAAATAAAGTGACAAAGAAAGATAGAATACAATAAATCATCATCAAATGGAATCATGGACATTTATAAGAGTTGCTGATAGCACTTAAAGAGTTTTTCTACAGAGCCAAAAAAGAATAAAGATGTTGAGTTATCAGGAAGGAATAAATTAATGACAATGGACAGATATGGAAAAGGTTATTGAAAGTGAAGGCTGAGAATGATGAGGGCAGCGAATGCATATATGTGTTTGACACAATGGATGGATGATGGTGATGAGAACTGTATGAGCCTCCAGTAAAATAATTAAAAAAGAAAGAAAGTAAAGGCTAGAGAAGGGAATCTATGGGAAGAAACAGGCCAACCAATGAGTACATGTGGCCCTATGAAAAACAACAACAAAACAATAACAACAACAAAAGAGTAATGAAAGTTTCAGAGACATTGGCTTAAAGACAGCAAAGATTAATTTGATTACAGTATGAATATTGATGGAAAATTTTTAAATATTTCCAAATACCATCTAATGGTTGGGAAAGAAGCTAAACAGCCATTAGTGCTAAAAATGGAATTATTCTAAAAGGAAGACTTTAAAAGAGTACTTTATTCAACATTAGGAAAAAACAAAAGCAAGCAAACAAATAATAAAGAAAAAACAAAGTCCATTATTCCCAACTGTTCCTGCAGATGAGAATAAATAGGAAAATAAATTTTAGATTTAAATTTTGTGACTAAACACAGGTAACTTAAAATAATATTTGACAAGATGGGTTTAAGGTCTAAGTTTGTAATCCTTCTTATTATATATTTGTCTTGAATCACCAAACTGGAGTCTTGGGGCCAAAACTTGGGGTAACAACGTAAGGATATAATACTAAGTTGTTTTGTGTGTGTGAGAGGAAAAACCTTAAAGTTTTTGCTAGAGAAGAGAAATAGACAGAAGATATTAAAGGTTAGAATTCCTAGGGACCTGAAGTCCCAAGATACACAGATTGAAATCATAACCAAAATCAAATTCTTCTAGTTAAGTGGGTATCAAAGTCCTAAAATCAACTAAATTAGAATCTACTTGAAGGATTATTCAAATGTCAATGAATACCCAACTTTAGCTCACAATCTAGGCCAAAAAAGGTTAAAAAGCCAGGAGAACAGGGTCCTGTGGGCCCCGACCGTCATCACAGTGTGAGCTTGTCTGGGAAAGAGGCATCTGCTGGCCTAGAAAACCCACGACGGTTGCTAGCTGCCCTCATGTCAGTTCACCTTCAGGGCCAGTCAGAGCGTGCAGGCTGGGGCTGCGCCACAAGCTTGCAAGCAGATTGCCAGGCTGCTTCCAAGGTGCTCTGGGTGGGTCTAAGCCCACCTTCAGCTAGCACTCGAGCACTTTACTGTTTGTGCCACCACCGTCTCATGTAGCTATCTACAAAGTCATAAAAGTGAGAACTTTCTTTTTCTCTTGCAACCTAGTTTGAGACATAAGCTCTGGTTTGGGGTGGAAGTGGGAGGGGTGAGGGGATCAATTAAAGTAATCAACTGTGTTGAGAGATGATGTCTCTTTTATATTAATTTATACTACGAGTAGAACATTTTAAAGACTAGTCATTTCTATTATCCTAAACTTAAGGAAAGACTGAATGCAGTTCAAACGTGTCACCAGAGAATGTTAACAGAGGTAAATTTCATGAAGAAATAAACAAGGGAATGGCTGAACTAACAAATGACTGGTATGGAAGATAAAGAAGTACAATGAAAAGGGAGCAACGAGGAGAATTCCAAGCAGTAGGTACAGGTAGCCCCAATAAACAAAGCTAGTGAGATGTGGGAAACCAAACAAGCGTTTGGGAAGTCTCTGGATAATTTGGTGTGAACTGCAGAATTCATGAGTTAAACAGAGGTGCAGCAGGAGAGGGAGTTAACTAGGAAATACGGGCCAGATTAATCCAACTGTCAATACAACAGGGATTTAGGAAAGGATTTTTAAGCAGTAGTGAACCATGTCAGCCGGAGGACAGAATAAAGAGATAAGCCTATCTGTAGCAGCTCTACATGCAAAGTCTTCAAAAGCAATAGGTTTCTTCAAATTATCATCGATCAGTTAATAAGCATTTTGGTAACATGAAAATCTGAAAATGTAGCTGAAAATGAGTAGCAACATATCCAATTTCATATTTTACAAGTTACTAAAATCATAAATCAAAGCATTTTATCCTCTAATTGAATTTCCATGTTCAAAAGGCAATTTGAATAACATACAAATAAAGATTCCCAGAGCCACTTAGTGTAGAAATATTTAAAAATTACAAACCTTGTAAGTGTTTAAACTCCACTTTCTAACAAGTTCTAATTTTTCCATTGCAGGGTTTTTAATTTCATCTGCTAGAATAACTGGTCCACTTTTTGACTGGGTTCTCTGGCTACCTGTGTGATTTTAACAGATTATAAAAACAGAAATCAGATAAAGGCAAGTAGAGAAAGAAGGCAAAACATCGATGCTATTCAAATGAAACTATTGACGCATTTAAAAAATAAAAAGGTTCCCACAAAGCGAAGTCAGAACTTCTGAGAATCTTTGAGGCTAATGAGAAAATATTTCTGTTCATTAAACACAAGTCCCACATGGTTTGGCTTTCTTGTAATAAAAAATAAAATTCTGCTGCAATCATTTTTCTATTCAAGAAAAAATAAATTTCCATAGCTAACTTTATGTTATAACCTAATCACTTATCTGTTTTAGGAAAAATTAAATTTCTGCAACTAACCTTATAGTGAAATCTTCTTCCACTGTACTATATAGATCAGAGCAAAAGCAGAACATTGCTATAAGACTGGAAGACTTGAAAATATGATTCAAATTGCAGTCATTACTGCGATTTTTACCACCAGTATAAACGAGGTTTAAATGAGATCCATTCTACCTTCTCACATACACACAAAAACCGTTATAATTAATAAAACAATACAAAATCCACTGCCTTTGAACTGATTCTGACTCAGTGACTCCACAGGGCAGAATAGAATGTTTCTTAAAGTTTCTAAGACTAAAAAGCCTCATTTTACTCCAGCAGAGTAGGTAGTGGGTTTGAATTGATCACCTTGCAGTAAATTCTGACAAATTAAACAATTAAGAACAATAAAATATTTTTCATAGCAGAAAAGGCTTTTAAAAATGCTTATGCCTCTAATGATTTAGAATAGAAACTTTCTAATAATTTTTGAACAATTAAATAAGAAGAGAAATATGGAAAATAAAAATTATTTTTAAAAAGCAAATTCTGCAAAAATTTCTTTTGGTTCATTCCTAGCCTCTCTCATAGCTTCACCACAGTCTAAGATCAAGAACAGTGCACAAAATCGAACACATTTAAAAGTTTATAAAATTCTCATAAATACCTGTTCAACATGCGAATTTAAAAAATGAGGATTTCGCCCCCTCCCCTTGTTTAATATAGATTCTAGCCATATTAAAGTCCGCAGCAAATTCAACTAATAAGCAGTAAGTAGAACTGGTAAGTTATATAGGTTTTGTTGTAATCTGTAAATTTTGAAAATTGAGGCTAAATATGGGAAGACACGAACCTTTCCATTTGACCCATTCCCAATAATAAACAGCCCCAATGTTGGAGGACCTTTGTTGGTTTAACTGCAGATAGGTGGCAGAGTCACAAAGCTGTGAGTTTAAGATCAAATAAAGTGAATCGACATTTTCCAGAGCAAAAAAAAATTTTAACCTTCAATGAATTATATTTCAAGTTTAAGATTTAGTGTAGGGTTGCTGAAATGACAGAAAGATAAGCTTTGGTGGGAAAGACCACTTCCATTATTGTTAAAAAGAAAAAAAAGTAGCAGCCACCCAAGAAATCAGATTAACACACACCTAAGATTATAAAGCAAGTGATTATGAAACTGAGTGAATTAGGTTAGCTTCAGAAGGAGCAAGCAGGGCTTTAGTCAATCAGTGCAGTGAATACCTGCAGGAACAATTAAATCACTTCCTTGTTGAGCCAGTTGACTAGCTGCAACCCTGCTAGGAGACATGACAGATGGCAATGGTGGTGCTGGGGAACCTGAAAAGGGTAGACATTTAATTGTGAACGTTCTTTTCCTTTTCCACACATGCACTGTACGCTTTGAATGCAGGTTAATTGACATGTTTTTGTAAGACAGCAAATACTACAATTTTAAAAATGAAGTAATGTATTTGATTTCTTCCAGGAAGTGAATTATAGCAAAAAACCAAAAAATGCTCCCAGATGGAGTTCTTGTATGATGTTTCCATTAAAACTATCAAAACCAGCAAACATGAAAATTTGAAAGCATTATTCCATATTTAGCAGAAAATTAAAATGTCTGATGGTACTTCAAAATTTCTATCTCATTCTCTAGAAAACATTAACAGGCAATGTATCAATTTCATAATATAAAATTTCCGGTATGAACAACAAATACATGCACACTCATGCCATCAAGCTGATGCCGACTCATAGTGACCTACAGGACAGGCCGACCTGCTCCTGCGGATTTCTGAGGCCGTTCAATGCCCCCCCACCCCCCACCAGTTTCACATTTTCTTTATTCTTAAACTCTTTGATAACACGCCCCTTTATCCCCTCCCCCCACCCTATTCCCCAGGAACCCTTATTATTATATTATATACTAATATCATTTGCCATCTTTATACCTTCCAACGTATCTGTTGACCTACAATTCTGTTATTCGTTCCCCTTGAGTGGGGTTATACAGTCATCATTGCTATCAGCTCCCTCTTTCCCCCTCCCCTTCCCACCTTCCCATACCTCAGGGAATCAATATTCCTATTACTGTTTCTGAAGGGTTAGCTATCTTGGCTTTCATGCATAGAACACTCTTAATTATACATATCAACATACTCAGGTCTAACAAGATTAGAGGGAAAACAAAGACCAAAGAGGAGGGCATATTAAAGAACTATTGGATAGTTCAGTGTTTCATCAGTGCTATACTGCTCTCTAGATTTATCATCCTTTCCGTGTGCCCCTTCTGTGAGGGACTGTCCAATTATCTTTTTTAAAAATCATTTTATTGGGGGCTCATACAACTCTTACCATAATCCATACATACATTCGTGTGTCAAGTACATTTGTAGCCCTCATCATTCTCAAAACATTTGCTTTCTACTTGAGCCCTTGGTATCAGCTCATTTTTTCCCTTCCCTCCCTAATGCCCCCTTCCTTACAAGGATCTAAATATAACCTCCTTCCTGGGGGATGGACAACAGAAAAGTGGGTGAAGGGAGGCTGTTAACTCTTGACAGTAGTAAAAAGCCTCATCTTTCTCCCTCAGAGCTACTAGTGGTTTCAAATGGCTAAGCTTGCAGTTATCAGCCCCAGTCAGAACCATTACGCCACCAAGGCTCCTTAACAAGGTACAATTAACATTCATGTGCTTTATTTACAAGTATTAATCACAGATCGTATCCTGGGTGTTCTCAGTGAAAGCTGTGAGAGCAGCAACTTGACAGGAGTGCCTTGTTTTTCTGGCTTTTGCAAGTTTTCCATCTTTATAGGTGGTGACTTACTACTTTTTTCTATTGCTCTCTTTTAGTAGAAAATATGTTTTCCTTTCCTAACAGATTTCCACCTTACCCAGGGTGTGGCTTTTGCAGGTTTTACTCTGCTAAGTTCTGATGCGAAGTCGGTCACCAATTCTTCTAATTAAAACCTTAATTTGGGCTGGAACTCACATATCATTTATTTAAAATTTTTGACATAATTCACATATCAGACAGTTCAATGGTTTAAACATATTTTTAAAGTATTGTACAATCATCACTACAAGAAATTTTAGAAATTTTGTTCTTCGTATTCATTGTCATTAGCTCCCCATTCCCTCCCATCCCATGCTGCAACCCCAAGAAATTATTAATCTAATTACTGTCTCTATATATTTACCTATGCTGGATTTCATATAGAGAAAAACATACAAAAATAAAACAATAGCAAAGCCCAAACAGAACAGGAAACACCTCAATTGAAAAGAAAATAATCAAATCAAAAGAAAAAAACAAGAAAATAATCAAAACTAGAGCAAATTTAACATGAGTCAAAAGGAAGAACAAATCGAAGAGGTGCTAATTTTTTTTAAACTCATTTTATTGGGGCCTCCTACAATTCTTATCACAATCCATATATACATCCATTGTGTCAAGCATATTTGTACAACCATTGCCATCATCATTCTCAAAACATTTGCGTTCTACTTGAACCCTTAATATCAGGTCCTCATTTTCCCCTTCCCTTTCCACTCCCCCCTCCCTCATGAACCCTTGATAATTTATAAATCATTATTATTTTGTTATATCTTACACTGTATGACGTCTCCCTTCACCCACTTTTCCTCTGTCCATCCCCTAGGGAGGAGGTTATATGTAGATCCTTGTAATCGGTTCCCCCTTTCTACCCTACCTTCCCTCCACCCTCCCGGTATCGCCACTACCACCACTGGTCCTGAAGGGGTCATCTGTCCTGGATTCCCTGTGTTTCCAGTTCCTATCTGTACCAATGCATACCCTCTAGTCTAGCCAGATTTGTAAGGTAGAAATGGGATCATGTAAGGCAGAACTGGGGAGGAAGCATTTAAGAACTAGAAGAAAGTTGTATGCGTCATCGTTGCTACCTTGCACCCTGACTGGTTCGTCTCCTCCCTCGACCCTTCAGTAAAGAGGTGTCCAGTTGCCTACAGATGGGCTTTGGGTCTCCAC